CTCTACTCAACGAACTCCAATCCCCAAAATTTTGTGAGGATATTTGCATTTGTTAAGGAATAAATTAAAAAAAAACTGAAATAATATTTTACATTTAACACCCTGTATCTCTTTAACTATCAACTTTTGGACTAAGGTAAGTTCGGCTAAATCACAATATTTTTACTTGGGGAATCTACCCATGAATTTTGGCCCATTACGTCGCGACCACCCTGTATATCTTAACAAATTTAAAAAAATTTAAAAACTAATTGCGCCAATCGAAAGAACGGGAAATTTTACATGAAAAATGTATATAAAGTTATTTTCTAAAATGAAAACTAGGTTGTAGAATTTTTTTTAAAATCGTACGAAAATGTAAAGCGTCGACACTTGCGCGCAGGATTCGAGGAGCGCGCGGCCTCGCACGCTATCCACTAAATTTGTTATAACTTTTGATCTTTTTGATCAAATTAAGTCCACAAAAATTTAAATGAAAGAGGAATCTTGTAGCTAACAAGTTATCATGATTTTAAAATCGAAAAAAAAATATTTACAGGAATAGCGTGAATACTGGGTAGGAAAGTACCGATGGTCTATCTAAAGTTACGTGAGAGCGATAAATTAAGCCATAGAAATCCATGTGATAGACAAGGATGGGTATAGTGAAGGCGTCTAATAGTCACCGCCCATTTCGCCCTTCCACAAATAAGAAGTGGATCTTATTTGTGGAAGGGCGAAACGGGCGGTGACTATGAGATGCCTTCATTATAGCCATCCTTCTCTATCGCATGGATTTCTATGGCTTACTTTATCGCTCTCATGTAACTTCAGATAGACCATCGGTACTTTCCTACCCGGTATATAAAGTTACGTAACGGTAGAATTTTCTACAAAATTAATTAAAAATCTGCCATTTTTTTTAATTTTTAAGATAAAAATCTAAAACTTTCAGAGATTACTCGTGAAATAGCATTTAAAGTAGTGAATGATATAAAAAAAAAATTAATTCGAAAAATACAACGCTTGAAATATTCAATAATTTAAAAAAAAAGGCAAATAGGATTTTTTAGGCCACGTTTCAAAGTCCAATGACTTTAGTTCAAAATATGATATTGCAACTTTACAGGGGCATTTTTTGAAGCTTGAAAACTGTACTTTAACATCCATTTTGTTTTATTTAGAACGTTGAATTTATAATAAAATTTAAAGAAAAAAAGCATAGAAAATTTTTTTTTGTTCTAAAACGATGAAATTTGTCATTAAGTAAAATTTAATAAAGTTAAAAACTATTTTTTTTATTGTTTAACCTGTGGGTACACATGCCGCATTTTTAAGCATTACGTCAAGAGCGCCGCCGAACGCACCAACCTTCCAGGAAGGGTCTACGGCGGGCTGGCGCCGGCGACCAGATGCGTACTCATATACCTACGACCGACTCCACACACAAGGACTCTCCAACAAACACTCAATAAATAAAATAACTTTATTATTACCGTTGAGAGAGCGTTTTATTCTTGCTGTACAGCGAAAGCAACACTCAAGTGGTGACCCCGACGTGATCTTTTCAGCGAAAGTACGCGATTTTGTGCAATTGTCAAGCTATGATCTTAAAAAAAGTATAATCAACGAAAAAAAAAATTTTTGTACTATAATATTGTATAAAATACGAAAAAATCCGTTTTATCAATAAATTGTCGCAATATTCAGTTTTACCTATATTTTTTCATGATGCAATTATGTAGTAGAAGTTTATCTGGTAATGAAATTCATTCTCGTGATTCGAGAATTATATTTTTGAATATTAGAAAGAGATAGAGAAAACATATGGGTGAATGGAACTCACCTGGCGCATGCTGCGTGTCTAACGGAGGGATTCGGGTATGACTCAAGATCCAGTAAGTGAACTTCTCAAAATGATTTTTTGAAGATGCAAAAGTGGCTGTGCTAATAATTGTGGTTGCCGGAAGGCGGGTCTATTTTGCACCAAAGTATGCTCTAATTGTTCCGGAACTGTTTGTCTCAATTGCCAAGCATTTTTCGAAGAAGAACGAGAATCAGACCAATTGCCAGAACTTACAATGATTCAAGAAAATGAAAATTGAATATTGTTATTTTTTTATACATATTTCTATTTTTAATATGCAAATACTTTTTCATATTTAATAAATTTGTTAATTAATATATTGACTTTTTGCAGCACCCTAAACATTATACCCAAATTTCTTTAATATTTAACGAGTTGATTTTATTTTACATTTATTCAATGATCCGAAAATCATAAAAATATTAATATGAAAATATTTGAAAAAGGTCGGCCATGTTGGATCAGCCATTTTGAATTTTTATTTTCTGATATAATATTCTTGTTCAGCGACTTCGAAAACCTCTATAATATCAATTTGATTAAAATTGCTTTGAAAATTGTCATTTTTTTAAAAAAATTGTTTAAAAAAAGTCAGCCATTGGATCAGCCATTTTGAATTTTTATTTTTTAACATTATATTCTTATTCAGTGACCTCGAAAACCCCAAAATAGTATGTATTTGATTAAAATTGGTTTGAAATTTTTTGATTTATTTAAAATAATATTTGAAAAACCTTTTTCTATTGTTTAAACAATTAAATAATAATTAGCGTACAAATATAACTTTATAACTTTTTTCTACAAGCCATTTTGGCTATTGCAAAAGGTTTTATGAAAATTCAAGGCTCTGCTAATTATTCCGAAATAATCCATATTTTTAAGCTACCTTTACTCCACTATTGGGACAAGTAGATTTTCGTGCCACGTGAAAACTCTTTGAAAATAGAACACATCTTGGACTTAGCAAAAAACAAATTTTAGAGATGATTTTAGGAGGGTCTAAGTCTTGGAAAATCCATCGACATTTAAAACTTTTTTTATGATGTCTTGCCTCCTTCATGGTTTGTAATTTAAAAGATATTAAGTTTTGAAATTAATTACCAAAGTAAAGAGAAAATTGTTTATGATTTGAAGTTGATTAAGTCAACTTGTTGTCATGTTTGTTTGTTTTGTATTGTGAATGATCTTAATTAATATTACTTTTATTGGTATTTCCGTTATTACTTTTATAATATAACTCATCAAATAACTAATCAACTTTTTCCTATCCCCAATTTGACAACTCTCATGAATTTTGCCCATATAAAAAATAATGTTTATGTTTTGGCTTTACAGAGAGAATCATTCTAAAATTCCAATAAGGTGAAAGAAGCATGTGGAGAAGATTTTTGAAATATAGAACACTATATATTTATTCCAGAAAATACTATTTGCCAGATGCTCTAATAACAGCCCAAAAAAGTTAGCTGTACCGCAGTCTGCCCCCATTTTTGAGTTGTTTTCCTGATAATAAATGAATTTTTTATTCTTTGCATTATTATTAAGACTAGGACAAATTATGGTATAAATCGATAAATAACATTTAGTTTAAAATATTTTTATCTGATCGAATATGTGTATTCGAATCATGTAGAATTTTATTATCGACAGTAAATATATATTTTCCTTGACATTCTCTATTTTAAAATAAGTAAAAAAGCCATATTAAGCTGTAAGAGTTCCTAGGACGTATAGTCGCGTCACTATAATATTTGAAAATCGATGAATTGACGTCCGCTATTTTATTGTTGAAATGTGCAGGGAAAGGCAGTAAAAAAGGTGTCTCAGCTCGTGAGTCAATTTTTTTCATTAGCAACAATTTTTTTAACAATTTGGGTCGAAAATCAGTTTTTCCAATGTATTGGGAAAAATGTTTTTTTTTTGCAATAACTTTTAAGCAATTTATCGGATTTTAATCAGGTGGCATTTTGTAGATCTTTTTATTGTGGATATTTCGTCTGTTGAACACTTTTCTTTAAAATCAATGGTGTTCCCAATATATTGGAAAAACTGATTTTTGGCTCCCAAATTGTTAAAAAAAAACAATGTTGCTAATGAAAAAAATTGACTCACGAGATGAGACACCTCTTCAACTGCCAATTCATCGATTTTTTAGCCCATTTACTGCTATAGCTACGTGTCTAGTAAGAATATCTATGTGCTATAATAAAAACAGTTTTTTTTACAATCTGGATCACTAGGTGGTATCAGTGCCATCTTTTGATAAATATATGACTTTAATAACAGTTCTCTGTACAGTATAGTACCGATATTTAACAAAATAATGGCAAAATTTTCGATATTTTGCCGAGGTGAAATCATTTCCTATGTTCTGCTCAAATTTAACACTGGTTCATAAAAATTATCGAGAATTTAAAGCGCCAGCCGTTTGTATGCTGGCTTTTGTATACTTTTGTTTGCTTTCGTTGAAAAAACTAGAAAATCTTTTTGGTTTTGCCGCTCATCCTCGGCGCCATCTGTTGGCAGACGAGTTAGTTTCAAATGTGTAAACTTCAGCTTATAGCGGGTAGACAATCTGATTTTTTTTTCATAGAAACCACCTCTTTCATCATTAACTTATTTTACCTTATTTTTACATTGTTATTTAATACCAATTTCACATCAGTCACGTAACTCAGATATAAATAGCTACTTATTACTTACCTCGTGGAGTGTTTGTACTACAAATTGCTCAGGCGCAGCAGAAGGACTCATTGGGAACAAACGCCTCACTTGTTGTATAAATCAAGAAACCCCTCACGCCTCCCTAACACCCCTTCAACAGTAGCCCTACACGAAATACCCGATTCTATAGTCGACGAAACGGCACGGGAAAGTATCTCGAGCACGCCTCTTGGTTAGAACTTTCACGGGGGCAACAAGTCGGCGAAGTTTAACAATTGGAACACAAGAGACGCTTGATTTACCCCCCATCATAACTTAAAGAAGTTTATTCCCTCTCCAAAGATTAACGGCTCGCTGCTAAAATTTGTCTCACAGCCACATACTACGAGATTTATATAATTGTTTTACTTGTTTCTGTTTTAGTTCCGTTTTAACTTTTGTTTTCCACGCAGGTAGTCTAGATTAGATCTAGTCAACTAACTGATTAGGAATGGCGGAGAAGAAAAACGCCGACGACGGCGACATTCACGGTTTGTCCATCGTGGACGATACAATGAACGACGCCTTTCATGGGGAGGATATACTCAAATCTGAAGATGACGCTTTGGTTGTCAAAATCGAGGACGAGGCAGACGGCGCTACTGGCCATGGTGAGCTTTTGTGGATATATCGCGTTTCCCTATCCTAAGGGAATTTATTTGTTTTAGATGCTCGTGAAGAAGCAGAGGACTCCTTCCTGGAAGAAGCGGAAGAGAAGTTTAATCTATTCGATGTATTGAACGAAAAGGAACCTGAGAAGGAAAGTAATAACACGTTCCATAATTCCACCCTTATAATCACCACCGAGGAACATTTGGATCAGACAATTTGTGACGATAACACATTGACAAATGTAAACACGTCTATATGTACTGACCTTACCTTAGAAGATTCGAAGACTTTAATGAAGTCAAAATCGAAGAAGGACGATCATTGCTACTTCTGGGTGTCGAATATCGATCGCCACGTTAAAGCTACCGACATAAAAAAGTTGTTTACTGGACTGGGTAAAGTGGTAACCGCAAAGATACTGACCAACGGTAAAAATTACTTTGGCTATGTGTCCGTGGATTCTGCAGAAACCGCCGGGAAATGCATCAAACAATTAAACAACACTTTGTTCGACGGAAAGAGAATAGTTGTCAGCAAAGACCGTCCAGACCTGAGAGAAAGCAAACAGTTAGTGAAACTGGATTCGCGTAAGAAGAGAAGCGATAAATTGGAATGCATAAAGGAAAGTAAAGCCGAAGAGAACCACGAGCATGAGAAGAAAATTAAGATATCCGGGGAAGAAGAGGAAGAGGAAAAGGATAACGTCATAGCTGAACTAAAGAAAAAGTTGGATAAATTGAAAGCAGAAATAAGCAGGTACAAGTGGAAGATAGTAGAGTACCAGCGCAGACACGAAGGTATGAGAAAGAAGTGCAGCAGCTTGGAGAAAGACCTGAAAGAGGCCCAGTACAAGACGCGCGCCGATCGTAGAAGACTGAATCAAGACAGAGAAGCGTTCGAGAAGAACAAAAAAGCGGATTTGAACCGCCTAGAAGCCGACAAGGTTGCTGTAAATAAAGAATTAGCCGAGGTTAGGAAATTAAGAGAACATCTGAAGACCAAAATCGACGAAGTCAAGGTCCAGCCTAAGAAGAACCCGAAGAGACGCGGCACCAGGTCACCCGTGCCGGTAGAACGGTCCCGAAGCCCTCGAGGAAGATCTCCAGTACTGCGCGGTGGCAACAGGATCGGATACAGATCCGAAGATAGGATGGAAAAAAAGCGTAAACGCGAAGATCCCCTACGCGGCAGAACCCCACCTCCGCCACCGAAGCTCGGCAACGTTATGGGGAAGAAGCGGAATGAGAATTTGTCGCACCGGCAGTACTTCGCAAATGTCGAGAAGAGACCATCGCCCTTGGACCATGGTCACGGGTTCGAGTACCGGCACAAGCCTTCCTTTGCACCGCCTCAAGAAATATCCAGGACGCCTTGGCAGACGCCCTACTCTAAGGATCCGCGTCGTATGAACGCGACGCTTGCTGGAGGTCAGAGCTTTTCTGGGGTACCCAGGTATGGGGGAGGGTACCAGTTCCCGCCTTCCAGCATCGCGGTGCCTCCAAGGAGTTACTATCCAGAGTTCGGCAAACCCTACGACCATTATTAAGTTCCTGCGTTGTTGTTCGTTAAGTATTAAAATGTTTATTTTTTGTTTCGTTTGAGACCCATGTTTGATCGTTCTGAATAAAGTTTTTAGTTACCCGATAAAAAATTATTGGAAGATCTGGAAAATTGCACCGAAATTGAAAACGCTGCTGGTGTAATACAAATTCAACTTCTAATGTATTGCTACAGGACTCAATTTATTAAATATATGCCAATTTAGAATATACGCTCGAAGGATTAGGAAATTCTTAGCAGAAAAAGGTGTCTGACGACTTATTACTTTTGCAGCCACTCATGACGTTCCTATCTCGTTGTAAATCAAGAAAACTCGAAATATAAATCTTGGATCGTCGAGATTCATATTTCCAATCAAGACGTCTGTTACAAAAGTATGACTAAATTGTAAAACGATGGCTTAATTAAATCTTAACAGAAAGTGTGTTGCTAAGTACGAGACAGACTGTGGCTGTTACTCTTTTGATGGAAAGAAATTAAAAAAAAGCAAGAATATAGGCCATGCGGCGCCGCGAGTTGCGAGATTGACGAAGAGAATGTAGAGCAAGTTCATTTCCTTTATTAGATTCCATTTTTCAGCGGGCCATCCAATGAGCCTTTATACGAGGGAAATTTTTATGCAAGAGTGACTTTATACGACGTTACCCCCATTTACCAAAACAATTTCCAAGAGACTGGGAAAATAAAATAAATAAAGTTTTAACTCGAAGACGGGAAGTTTTCAAATAATTCTGTTTGCGGGCGGGCCGTAATTGCTTGAATATTCAGCTAATTTGTCACCGACGTGGTTTGCTGCCTGCATTAACTCGTGACAGTCGCCAGATTGCTTGATTTCGTCTTCCGAAGTATAAAAGGACATACTTAACAATCTCTGAAGCAGCCATCTCGCAAAACATGATTAGAATGAAAGTGTACAAAGTTTAATATTTATGTTTCCATAAATCTTATTGCTATATACTTGAAAATATATTTATTCACTAAAAACAATTAGATAAGTCAATAAGTGTCATACGGTGGCCTTCCATATTTTTCATACAACCCCTTCCAAAACATCATCGATTCATTTCTGTAGTGCTGCTTTATTGCCATCTCCTTATTTATGTCCAAGTAGGTCATGTTGCTTGAAACAGTAGGCCATGAAATATTTTCTAACAGGAAATCTTGATGAGGAGTAGGAGATCTGAAACATATCTCAAATTACTTCTTGTGTAAGATATACGATATAACAAAGTCTATGAATGGTCGGTGTTCAAAGCTTAGGCCTTCAATACGACCACACTGGCAGAGAGCGACCTGCTGCTTCGCAAGTACAATGAAAGTAAGGCCTGTGTCGCCACTACACAAAACAATTTTTAACTGATGGTATTCATCCATTATTCACTTTGTTATACCTTATATCCTATAACCTTGCTCACTCTGTCTGCAGTTAAGATATCAAAAACAGCTGGATCATTCGTCGGTAGGCTCACCTAGGAAAACTAATAAGTTCGGAACTGGTATATGTCCGGCGGGTTTTGCTGACGAATGATCCTAACTGTTTACTGGATATTGCGGGTTAAATGCTCCCCCGGGATATTAATCCACAGAGCAATTGTTTCCCGCAATATCATCATTTACCTACTTTGTTTTAGCGAAATTTGCCCACATCTTAACCATCCGATCCCTGACCAGTTTATCTGTAGGGTTTGGTTCAGGTAAGTAGCTTCTCGACCAGATATACGCCATTTCCTCAGTATGGACCACACCTTGAATAAGGTACCTATTTAATTACTATGCTATAATCTGTAACAATGCTACCTTTATATTCATCGATCCTGGAATATCCCAACGTTTTTCTTCCTAGTATACCCTCGTAGCTGAAGCAATACATGAAAGTAGGCGCTGAAAGACTAAACAATCTGGCGCTCTCGATTATTGAGCGATAGAAGTATCCGTCGTTGACGTACTGGAAGATTTTACACATGAACTACAGTTTTAGAACTGCTGGAATCTTGATTGATTTATTCCAAAAGTTCTCAAACTGTTTAAGCTGCACAATATAATACAAATCAGTACGGTCATGGAACATTGGTCGCCGATAACATTTTTTTCTTTTCTAATCTACATTTTTAGAACACGGCGATGTTTGCTTATGTTCAGATGAACATTTGTTTGAAACGTTTCGTTTTCGAGATTCAGGATGTTAAGTTTTCGAAAAAAAATGTTTTTTGTTTATATCTTGCTAACGGGTTGATCAAATCAATTCAAATTCTGTACAGAGTATTACCAAATAAATTTGCATGATTTGAATATGGTGATGATAAATGACGTAACTTAGACGCGGAGATTCATCTGTTTTTGAGCAGTACATTACGCCACGGAAATGTTCTCAAAAATAGTAGCATTTTCTGAAAGAGCGGGGTAAATTACTTTTCAAACTACTTTTTATGGTTTTCTGAACAAGAAGCCGCAACTCATCCAGAGATAGTTGTTTTCTCTCAATTCCTCTTGCTCTTCTATCTCTCGTGTAGAAACACATCTACGCCTTTCAGAGTTGATAGGGTGTTTACCAAATTGTTTACTGTCCAGGATCCGATTATGAAATCTGGTTCAGCCTAAGTATACAGATGCTGAGCTTCAATTCCATTACCATTGGCACGTTCACACATAAAATGCTCCTATTCTGCATTGGTGTTCAAATGTATCTGTTTTTAATATAAATGAGCTATGTAAGAAACAATGTTTCTAAGAAACTAAAGGTCCTATCGCACTTAAAAAGCCCACTAAACAGAAAAATCTCACGTTTAATATGACAGACTTATTCAAGGTCACAGTTTTTTATTTTATAAAAGCCAGTTTGTAAAGAAGTATATGTCATTTCTGATTTATATTATACTGTGACTCCAAATATACCTCTAAATAATTTTCCGCTCTCGGTCTATCGCTCAAATAAAATTCCTTTATTAATTTTCCCGCCTCGTTTGTGTACCGTCCTGCATTCATGCCGCTGGGAATTAATATGCCAGGGTTGATGTCGTAGTAACGCAACAGAGGCGTTGTCAAGCTAAAAGCTGTAAAAATAATCTGAAACGCCGAGTTGTTTTATAACCACAAACTTACCTGGCTGTATCAAGAACGTTTCCGCGGAATTAAATCCTATTATGTAAGGCACTTTCACAAATTTACCCTCTTCAAGAAGATGGTGGGGTTTATCTGTAAGGAAGGCTTCCGGGTGTTCTGGCTCTATGGTTGGTGCAAACGGGATGCCGTAAATGATGCCAAGGCTGTGCTGTGGTGTTAAATCACTTATTTTACTTTATAATTTGGACAAAAGCATTACCTTAATAGCAGTTTTCATAGTAGCGGACTTTAGTTTTTCGACGCTCAGACTTTGCAGGTATTCGACCAGCTCTGTAGAGTTACTGGTAATTATTCCTGCTGCTACACCAAGGTCAAAGGCTATCTTCCTGGGTTTCCTCTGAAAGGCCCAAATGCAGAGGGCGCTGCCACTCTCTGAGATAGCACCTTGGAAGGAGTAACAATCATAAACGTGTTCGTGATTAAATTCTGTGTACTTACCTTGAAACAGACCTTCATTTCTTGGATACAACAATTGATATTGTACGGAAGCTGACCCAGCACTCTCACCAAATATAGTAATTTTGTCGGGGTCACCACCAAAGTGCTTTATATTGTCTTTCACCCAACGCAATGCCAGATGTTGGTCTTTCAAACCGTAATTACCTGGAGATACCAAGTCCTCAGTATTGAGGAAACCTAAAAACAATTATTACTTAAGTAATTTGTTCCAAACGTTGATACATTTTACCAAATGATGCCAGTCTGTAACTAAAATGCGCCACAACTACACCTTCCTCTAGAAGAAGATCGGGGCCAAAGTAAGTCGAATTTGCCGATCCCAGCAAGAAAGCACCTCCATATATCCAAACCATAACAGGAAGTACCTGGACATTGCAAGCATGTAGGTCCTAGAAACATCACTCTCGTTAAACATGTGTCGAAACTGTAACTATAAAATTACTTTTACTGTCGTAAACACGTTGATGTAAAGACAGTCCTCGGATTCGATCAGATCGTTGAGGACTGAAGGAATGACTTGAACACACGAAGTAAATGTTCGAGAGGTGTTGAGCACGCCATCCCAGTTACGTGCTGGAACCGGTGGCTGTCATTTATAGAGAGGAGCGATTAAAAGTTTGTTCCTGAATTAGTTTGTACTAACCTTGAAACGAAGTTTCCCGATAGGGGGCTCAGCGTATGGGATGCCCTCAAACGAAAGATATTGAAGTCTTCTATTTAGCGTTTCCTTCAATTTGCCTTGAACTGTACCTTGTGGGAGTCTTACTTGCAGTGTAGAGTTCTGAAACAAATACAACTTAAACTTTTACAGTAAAGTAGTTTTTGATGCAAGTGACGTTTAGATGTAATTTTAATTGCTCCTACGTATTTATATACTTATTTCTATTACCTGGAGACGTGAAGGAACAAACTGTAAAGCACAGCAGTACCAGCAACACAAAATGTATGGAAGGACAGTTATTAGTTGAATATATTGCATTACGTACATTTAGATAATAACAATTTTTACACAAGTAACAATAGTCATAATGTTGTTACGGTCGCGTGATGTTAATGTGGTTTTTTGAACAGTGAATATTACAATTCGGATATTACCGTTTCCTGTTTGCATACATGATTCGGATATCGCACAGAAAAATCTACGAACACAAAATTTTGCAGGATATCGGGTATATATACCAAGGATTCTTATACAATTCAATCACGAAGTTTGGGGTGTAATTAAAATATTTGAATATATAGTTTATGGGAGTATTAATACTATTTTTTTAAACATACAATAATAATGATACATTAAGTTTAAACTGGTTGTATTTTAACAACCTTTAAGCTACACTTCCTTCAGGATAAACACATCCATTTTAAACACCAGATATTTAAAAAAACTTGTTTGTATTATATCAATATCAACTATGTAACGGCTATAAAAACGATACCAAATGATATATAACTACTCAAGTTTAGAGCGAACATAAGAATAGAATATTTTTAAAACGTCTGTAGTAAAGGTTTTACCTCGGGTTTTACGGTGTCTAAATATAATGCTATACATTTTCATCAGTGTTGAAGATCTCCTGCATCGACAATAGGCGTTCGGTACACATTTTGTTTCATACACCCCAAATAAAAGAGTCCATAGGATGCATATCCGGACTTCGTGCTGGCCAACGTACAGGTCCATTCGTTCTATCCACCTTTCCGGAAAGTTGGTATGTAAAAATTCACAAACTGCAGGAGAGACACGCGGAGAGGCACCATCATTCAACAGTCCGAAGCATTCTGGTCGTACACGTGCACAAGATGCACAGGGTCGGTTTACATTTTTGGTTAATCTTAATTAATTTTCTCGAAAACAGAAGCATTTAGACTATGAGTTGCTTAACAAAACTTGCTAATTTTCCTGCCCTGTATATGACTTAAATCGATTATAAAGAGAAGAAAAAGCAATTGATTCCTAAGGCACCTCTGATGTTACATATGACGGAGATTTAAAGTCATTGTACTCGACATATTGTTCTCTTTGGCTAAGATAGAACGAAACAAATTTTTGGGTTTGGACAACAAAACCAAAATTGTTTCTAACACATATTCTATATAAATATATATGAGGTGAGGTAAGATGAGAGTAGACTCCGTGTATGTTATGCGTTATTGCATTGAGTAAAAGGTAACCTCGTGTTGCGTTTCGATTTGATCGGGGTAAACAGACGTCGAATTTCATCTCGTTTCCAATTAACCTCCAAGTCGGACGTTTTATACAAATAACGAAGGGGTTCGACGTCTGCAACGACGACCTCGAAGTAAAAGTTATTATTTTCTCCATCAGAAGGGGGATATGGACGCCGAGGAGGGAAGTATAGGTAGACTGGAATCTTTAATTTGATTAAACCGAGAAACAAACAGAAATAAAACTCAGGCGATACCATCAGAGCGAAATTAATGGGATTGTTTTTGTTGAGGAATCATTTCTGAGAGCAGTGACGCGGCATATAATTCAAAAGAGAGGGAAATTAAATGTACAGACACAGCCGTTACAAGATATTTTCAATTTAGAAGCGTGAAAAGGTTCAAGCAAATTGAAATATAGGCTGGCATATTTCTTATTAATACTTTTAATAATTTGAACCTTTCATTTAACCTTCGTTGCTTTTGAGGTTATATGTAATTGACCCTTTCTCATTTAAAGATTTGATTCAGCATGAATTTTCACTTTTACATTTAATTATACTGCGATACCTCGTCGATAAACTGGAGAATATCCCCGAGCCACGCCGCTGGCGACTCAGCGCCAAGGCTATCTAGATGATTGAGTCGACCTGCCGGAATCAGAAGACAAAAGACTAGCGGCTAATAGCTTTGACCTCGGCGAGTTATCGGAAAACCATTAGATTGCACGTGGAAAATGGGTTAAGTGCAGTTTCCCATTGCCCTTCGCGGCGTTTTAGCCTGGTTAGCGACAATAAAAGCGACCCGAAGGGTGGCACTATTGTTCCAACTTCGCTCCAGGTCAGTGGGTAGGAGTGGGTGAAAGAGGTTATTTTTTCCCTCGAACGTATTGAAAAGTGTCCTAGCAACATTGAAAATTATAGGGAAATGTTATTGGAAAAAGATTTCAGTAAATCAAGATACGGAAAACCTATTCAAAGACATAGGTATATTCTAAATTACACTGCTCAAAATAATTAGAGGAACACTTATTTAAATCTCAGTAACTTTTTTATTTGTAATACTATATAAATCTAATAATGCATATCTTAAAGACTAACATTTTGTTCGAATAAATTTACGAAAATAAAACAAATTTACATAATCACGCTTGAGATAACAGCGCCAATTCAAAAAAACTATAAGAAATAAAGTGAAGAGTCTGTGATCCTGTCTGTATAACATAAAGGTCCTGGTGATATTTGGTTCACTAATATCGTGTATATCTTCCATTAGCACGAATTACTGCTTGACACTTCCGTGGTAAGCTTCGGATGAGCCTACGAATGTCTTCTTGTGGTATATTCTCCCATTCTTCGATTAGGGCATTTGTTAAATGTTGGAGAGTCTGAGGTGGGTCTGGGCGCCTCCGAACACGCCTATCTAACAAATTCCAAAGATGTTCGATAGGGGTTTAGATCAGGACTTAGCGGAGGCCAATCCATGGATTGAATCCCGTGATGTTGAAGGTAGTTCATGGTGATAATCGCAGTTTGTGGTCTTGCGTTATCTTGCATAAACAGAAAATTTGGATCTATATCATAAGCGGCTGGTATAACATGATCTTCTAGAATGAGATCAATGTATCGTTCAGCGGTTAGAGTCCCTGGACCTATGACAAGATCGGTTCTTTCATCAAGACTAATTCCGCCCCAAACCATCATTGACCCACCACCAAATCTTTCGACTTATTGTATAGTAGCTGAAGAATGGCGTTCATGTGGACGTCGGTATACACGTACTCGACCATCACAACGACTTAAACGAAATTGTGACTCACCTGTGAAGAGGACTGGTCTCCAATATCGAAGCTGCCATGCCACATGCTCACGTGCAAAATGTAAACGAGACCTTATGTGATACGGAGTTAAAATAGGTTTTCGCACGGGTCTTCTTGGTGTCAAGTTTGCTTCTCTCAGTCTATTCCTAACTGTCTGATCGGAAATTTCCAACCCATGAGTCGTTCTGAGCCTACTTTGAAGGTCTTTTGCTGTGGATGTACGAGAACGCAAGGAGGATAGGACTAAAAACCAGTCCAGAATTCGGTTTGTTTTCTTCTTAGGACGTTGTCCAATGCGTCTTTTATATCCTCCGGTTTCCAAGTAACGATTCCACACTCGATGGATGACAGAAGGGCTTACGTTAAAATCTCTTGCAACCTGTCGAATACTGGTGCCATACTGTATACTAGCAACAACACGAACGACTTCAACTTCACTTAGATGCCTCATTTTTTACAATTTATGCTGAACTGTCAACATTGTTTACTATTCCAAGGCACAGCATATTTCTAAATTGAAATTTTGATTGTATGTTTCACTTTATTTCTTGTAGTTTTTTT